TCTGGAAAATAAAGTTCAATATTTAGAACATCTGGAACAGGAAAATAATTCATTTACAAAGTAAAAAGTCTGATAAATGTTATTCTGACATTTGGACAGCAGCTGTTTTTAAAGAAAATATATTAGAATAAAATGATGAATTAAAATCAGCATTAAAGTATCAGTGAATGATTTGGTTTGAATAAACAGAGAAAACTCACAGCAGTTTCTTTACTTTGCAGATTGAACTCTCCAGTATCTCACACAGATGCTTCATTCCAGAGTCTCCAAAGGATTTATCTCCACAGATCTTCTCTATTTCCACTTCAGTCAGATGAAGGTTGGACTTCAGAGCTGAGGCCACAACTTCATATTCAGCCTCAGAGAGCACAATGCCACCAAGTCTGTGATTAGAGGAGAAATAAAGTCAGTTCTAATGAAATCAGACAATCTGGATGATAAACACAGACTAAAACATGATGAGCAAACAGTGATGTCATCATCTGATGAACATCTGCTCTCCACATTAGTGATGGGTCCAGCAACAGCGATGCGTCGGTGCATGCATGGAGCCCATAGAGCTAAACACTGTATCGGTGCGCGTGTCGTTTCCAGAAAGTCATGTGACCGATACAGGAGTTGTTTCTAACTGACTGACTCACTAAACTGGGTTTAAAAACGGACCTGTCAACATGATGCATCTGCTAAAAAAATGTCTCATATTTTGCTGTTTATCATTAAAATGATCAAGAATTTTGGAGCCTAAAAGGAAGCCGTTTTATTTTAAATTCCTCATTGTGTCAAACTTTTCCTCTCAGTTATCACTAAACATATCTGAATTAAAGTTAATTTCAAATTGACTTAGTTTAGTTACTGTTTTTACTGTACTTATTGTTTTAAAATATGATTTAAAATCCTAGTCCACAAGCATCCTCATTCACATTTTCCCCTAATTTTCACATTATGATATATGTTTACATTATTTATTGGCTGCATCTAAAAATATCAAAGATATTTTCAATATAAACATAGATGTGAAATAATACAATATAACCTACAGTAACTTAAATGATATCATTGTACTAGGTCATCAAATCAATTCAGTTTAGTCTGTCCAATAAGCTGCCTGTAGTGTCTTTAAATGTCCAGCAGGTGTCAGTATTCTGTGAGACAGTATCAACGCAGCATCAATCCAGTTTGGCTTCAAGATGCCTCATTAACCATCACTGCTCCTCATCAATGTCCTGTTTGACACCACAGAGAATCTCTTCAGTCTCTTCAGGTCCTGGTTCAGCTGCAGACCTGCTGTGTCTCTGCTTTGGTTAGAAGCTCCATTGAACCACAGTGATGGAGACAAACAGAGAAGCTGAGCAACAGGTTCAAACAGCTCAGGCTTCATGTTCACAGAACAACACTGAAGGTTTTAGCAGCAGCAGCATCTGCAGTCAGATGCTGCAGATCTTCTATCAGTCTGTGAAGGAAAGTTCAGTTTTCTCTGCAGCATCTGATGGAGCTGCAGCATCAGAGACTCAAAGGAACTGAAGCAACTGATGAAGAGGCTGACTGGGCTGGATGAAGGACACTACATGTGATTCTAGAGAGAAGAATGAACTGCTCAGAGGTCTGACTCAGGTCAGACTCCAGTCACTCATTTCATGACTTTAGACTTGATGAAATCACTAAATGAAACATGAACCTGATGGAGGAGACAGAGCCTGAACTGGCCTATGATTTCACATCTTCTACAGGTCAGATGTTGCTAATAATCATCAGTTCCTAACTTCTCCTCTCTCCACAGCCCCACAGACATGTCCAACATTGGAGATGAGAAGCTGCAGAGCAGTGAGATCAGCAGAGAGTGAAGCTTTGTTCCCTCCTTTAACTCAGCCAAGGTTACTGATGTCAAACCTGTGATGGTTTCTAACAAGCTTCTCCTGTAGGGCTGGAAGAGGGAAGGGTGTGATGATGAGTAGGAGGATGAAGTACATCTAATCTGGGAGGATGAATGTAGCGGGAAATAAGGCAAGCCTAAAGGGACCAAACTGGGTCCTTTTACCAGGCGTTTGGTTGAAAATCCATGAAAAATGTCTTCTGAAAGTCCCGCTGTGCTGCCCTCACAGTGCATGTGCCGATGCAAGGCTAGACAGCCAGATAACGGTTAGCTAGAAGCCCTCCAAAAAACCACAAGGCTTGACGTTTCTAGTCCTTTAATGAAGTCATCATTCCACAACTACTGTAAAACTGAAGAATACAGGAATAAGGCAAACTTTACTCACTTAGATCACAGCATGAGTAAGCATAAAATAAGTACATTTCAGTTAGCCTCCATGAATAAAGAAAATGAGAGAAGTTAGCATGTTAGCATGAATTAGGATCTTAGCATGAGCTAACGTTAGCGGGGTAAGCTGTATACATGGAAAACACACACGTAGGTCTAAATATGAAAATTCACATTCATCCCCTTATAATACTAACAGATAAATATTCTCCAAGGCCAAAACGTTTGTAAACTTTAGACAATCTGACTTCAGCTGACTGCTTAGCTGGATGTGATCAATTCAGCTCTGCTGAGCAGTTAATGGAGGAAAACCCACCTGAGCAGGTTACATAGCTGCTGCTAACGAACAGAGCGCTCACTACGACGCCGTTTGTTACGGCCAAGAATATATACTTTTAAAATCTACTAACAAACTGATGAAATTTAACATAACTTATTGCTTTAAAATGTTTAACCTCAAAAGGCAGCACACACGCCATAAAGGATGCCATAACATCTGGCAGTTTAATGCTCTATTTAAAGAGGTTTCACTAAACACTAAAAATAAATAATCAATGTTCTCTCTGGTCATTGAATGCAGATTTTTAGATCAGGTGGTGTTCAATGTCCTGAGAAAAAGCAGTTTTTAGCACTTTCTGGCACTCTGTTTTCTCACATTAAGCAGGACTCTTCTCCCTTTCTTCTGATCCAACTAATTTAAACTCCAGGCAGCCAATCATAGAAGTAGAACTGCAGGTCCCACTAATTCATAACAGATTAAAGTGCTGAGAACAGATCTGATGTTTGTTTTACTGGTGGATTTTATTTATCCTGCAGCATTCACTGTCAGTGTTTGCTTCTGTAATCATCTCAAATCAATTTATGAATTCTAAAGACAGAATCTGAGAAAAATACACAACAAGTGTCTGGAACAGGTAGAACTGATATGTAATGTTGAATTCTGAGTTGTATCTGCAATACTTTATTCCTCCACCAGATGGCACTAACGTGGGGGCTGATTCACAGAAACCTTTTCTGGACAAACCATTCAATGAAATGATGTGGCTTATTACCCTCTAAAGTATGGAGGACCAACTTTGCCATATATAAAAATAAATAAATAAATGCTCAATAAATAAATAAGCATACAATTAATTGCCACCAAAAATACAATAAAGAAAATAAATGTAAGTAGAAATTAAATCATACAGTGAGACATAAATGTATATAACTCTTTTAATTAGCTTCTTTATTTATTTGCCTTTGTAATATTTACATTATTTTTTTATCCTTTAAAATCTTCAACTTTATTTTTTAATTACTTATATTTTTAAGTATTTATTTATGTGCATGTTATATTTTTGTCTGTTTTATTCTTCCTTTGTATTTTTTTACTCTAATTATTTATTCACCGCTATTTATTTCTGCCTGTCCTTTTTACATTTCTGTAGGCCAAACACAACCTCATTCTTTCATTCAGTTCTGACTTTTATGTCTATCCAATTTAAAGCAATTTCTAATGATTTGCTGTTATTGATCTTTTTATGATTTTATTCAGTACCATGTTTATCCATAGGATGATCTGAAGGTTCTTAGAAATAAAATGTTATCAATAAAAGGGGAACACACATAAACTGCACAAGCAGCCTATTTACCGTTTACTAGCACACAGATTGACCTTCACACTGAGATTTGTACTGTAATGTTATTAGAATAAACAAATATACTACATCTGACCTCAATCTCTGTAGTTTGCAGAGGGGAGACTGGAGAAACCCACTGAGCTCCTTTATTCCAGGGTCCAGCTTGGTCCAGCTCAGGTCCAGTTCTGTCAGATGGGATGGATTAGACTCCAGAGCTGAGCCCAGAGAAGCCCAGCTGATCTCTGAGAAACTGCGGTACGCCAAACTGAATAAAGAATCAAAGATTTTAGCTGAATTCAACAGGATGCAGATTAAAACTTTCCATTAAAACATTCCAGCAGAATATGTGACCCCGGCACGTGATAAACACTAGTCCAAGGACCATTGGTTATTTTCCTCACTGACACTGTGCTGGCCCAATCATACAGCATCACTGAACACATTCTCTCTTTGGCCAGGGTCACTGAATATAGTATAACACCGGTACGCAGCTGCTACCATACTGAGATGGAGATAAAGCCCAGAGGAGTCGCTAGAAACTACGGAAACAAAACTCTCAGAAGTAAAAGCACAGATATCTGAGTAAGAAAAGACTGATTGAACTCATTTACTGAAAAAAATTAGATAAACTAAATTAAAATGAAGTTTTTGCATGAAAAAAAAAAAACATCTAAAAACTTTATTCTTCAAAATAATTTCTCTGCTGAGAAAACAGGTTAATTTTGCTCCTTTTCTCTCTGTGTTGGTAGAGAGAACATAAAAATCCTGACTGGGTCTAGTTTGGTTCAAGATTGTAATTTCAGACAGGATGATATAGATTGAAGTGAACAGAAGTCCTTCATCAGCAGCTGAATCCTTTTAGAGCTCTGCTATTCACAGCATTAAAGCTGCAAACAGAATCAACATGGACATTTCCTCCCTAATAAAGGGGAATGGACGGGGAATGTCTGCGTCTCACAATCTGATCCATCAATGTCTCCAGCCTCCTGTCTTCATCCATGTCTCTATCAGTGTTTTTCTACAAACTAACTGGGCTCCAACTGGACAGATTCTCTTTCTGATTTTACCTGTTTTGTTGCAGCTCTTACGTCATGTCGTTATCAATATGGAGAGAAGAAATAAGCCAGTTTGGAGAAAGGAAGGAGTAGAAAGTCCAGATATTTGGCTTCAAATGTAGGAAGGAAAAGGAAAAAGGATTCTGAAAAATAAATACTGAAGTAAATAAGAAGTAAATAAGTCAGAAATAAAAAGCTGCTTAAGTTCAGTAACTAAGTATTTGTGTCTCCAAGCGACTCTGACAGCTGACAGATTGAAGAGGACGGGTTCTCTCTGACCCGGTCCAACAGAACAGCAGCTTCAGGACAAAGATTTCATGTCTTTGTCTTTTCTTCCTAAACATTAGTTTTTAGATCATCTTATTTTATTCTAGTTATTCTAAAATGTTTGTGGTTCTGGTTCTACTCTAGAGGAACCAAATGTCATTCTGGATGGAAAGATGTGAATCAGAAATGAGAAATAAAGCCATCTTATCTTGTCTCATCATCTGAATCTTTCCCAAATCAAACTGAAACATCTCCATCATTACTTAACATCATTTGACTGATTTTCCTCATTTTTGTCCATCAGTCCAAAACATTTGAAAGTTTGAACATCTGAAAAATAAAGTTCAATATTTAGAACATCTGGAACAGGAAAATAATTCATTTACAGGTAAAAAGTCTGAGAAATGTTATTCTGACATTTGGACAGCAGCTGTTTTTAAAGAAAATATATTAGAATAAAATGATGAATTAAAATCAGCATTAAAGTATCAGTGAATGATTTGGTTTGAATAAACAGAGAAAACTCACTGCAGTTTCTTCACTTTGCAGATTGAACTCTCCAGTATCTCACACAGATGCTTCATTCCAGAGTCTCCAAAGGATTTATCTCCATAGATCGTCTCTATTTCCACTTCAGTCAGATGAAGTTTGGACTTCAGAGCTGAGGCCACAACTTCACATTCAGCCTCAGAGAGAGAACAGCCACCAAGTCTGTGATTAGAGGAGAAATAAAGTCAGTTCTAATGAAATCAGACAATCTGGATGATAAACACAGACTAAAACATGATGAGCAAACAGTGATGTCATCATCTGATGAACATCTGCTCTCCACATTAGTGATGGGTCCAGCAACAGCGATGCGTCGGTGCATGCATGGAGCCCATAGAGCTAAACACTGTATCGGTGCGCGTGTCGTTTCCAGAAAGTCATGTGACCGATACAGGAGTTGTTTCTAACTGACTGACTCACTAAACTGGGTTTAAAAACGGATCTGTCAACATGATGCATCTGCTAAAAAAATGTCTCATATTTTGCTGTTTATCGATAAAATGATCAAGAATTTTGGAGCCTAAAAGGAATAGGAACGTTTCAGCTGTTGTGTTTTTATTTAAATTTTCTCGTTGTGTCAAACTTTTCCTCTCAGTTATCACTCAACTTATCTGAATTAAAGTTAATTTCACACTGACTCTTAGTTTATTTACTGTTTTTACTTAACTTATTGTTTTAAAAGTATGATTTATAATCCTAGTCCACAAGCATCCTCATTCACATTTCCCCCTAATTATCATGTTACGATAGACGTTTATACATTTGGCTGCATCTAAAAATATCAAAGATATTTTCAATTTAAACATGGATGTGAAATAATACAATATAACCTCCAATAACTTAAATGATATCATTGCACTAGGTCATCAAATCAATTCAGTTTAGTCTGTCCAATAAGCTGCTTGTAGTGTCTTTAAACGTCCAGCAGGTGTCAGTATTCTGTGAGACAGTAACAACGCAGCATCAATCCAGTTTGGCTTCAAGATGCCTCATTAACCATCACTGCTCCTCATCAATGTCCTGTTTGACACCACAGAGAATCTCTTCAGTCTCTTCAGGTCCTGGTTCAGCTGCAGACCTGCTGTGTCTCTGCTTTGGTTAGAAGCTCCATTGAACCACAGTGATAGAGACAAACAGAGAAGCTGAGCAACGGGTTCAAACAGCTCAGGCTTCATGTTCACAGAACAACACTGAAGGTTTTAGCAGCAGCAGCATCTGCAGTCAGATGCTGCAGATCTTCTATCAGTCTGTGAAGGAAAGTTCAGTTTTCTCTGCAGCATCTGATGGAGCTGCAGCATCAGAGACTCAAAGGAACTGAAGCAACTGATGAAGAGGCTGACTGAGCTGGATGAAGGACACTACTGGTGATTCTAGAGAGAAGAATGAACTGCTCAGAGGTCTGACTCAGGTCAGACTCCAGTCACTCATTTCATGACTTTAGACTTGATGAAATCACTAAATGAAACATGAACCTGATGGAGGAGACAGAGCCTGAACTGGCCTATGATTTCACATCTTCTACAGGTCAGATGTTGCTAATAATCATCAGTTCCTAACTTCTCCTCTCTCCACAGCCCCACAGACATGTCCAACATTGGAGATGAGAAGCTGCAGAGCAGTGAGATCAGCAGAGAGTGAAGCCTTGTTCCCTCCTTTAACTCAGCCAAGGTTACTGATGTCAAACCTGTGATGGTTTCTAACAAGCTTCTCCTGTAGGGCTGGAAGAGGGAAGGGTGTGATGATGAGGAGGAGGATGAAGTACATCTAATCTGGGTGGATGAATGTAGCGGGAAATAAGGCAAGCCTAAAGGGACCAAACTGGGTCCTTTTACCAGGAGTTTGGTTGAAAATCCATGAAAAATGTCTTCTGAAAGTCCCGCTGTGCTGCCTTCGCAGTGCATGTGCCGATGCAAGGCTAGACAGCCAGATAACGGTTAGCTAGAAGCCCTCCAAAAAACCACAAGGCTTGACGTTTCTAGTCCTTTAATGAAGTCATCATTCCACAACTACCGTAAAACTGAAGAATACAGGAATAAGGCAAACTTTACTCACTTAGATCACAGCATGAGTAAGCATAAAATGAGTACATTTCAGTTAGCCTCCATGAATGAAGAACATGAGAGAAGTTAGCATGTTAGCATGAATTAGGTTCTTAGCATGAGCTAACGTTAGCGGGGTAAGCTGTATACATGGAAAACACACACGTAGGTCTAAATATGAAAAAAAAAAACATTCATCCCCTTATAATACTAACAGATAAATATTCTCCAAGGCCAAAACGTTTGTAAACTTTAGACAATCTGACTTCAGCTGACTGCTTAGCTGGATGTGATCAATTCAGCTCTGCTGAGCAGTTAATGGAGGAAAAAACCACCTGAGCAGGTTACATAGCTGCTGCTAACGAACAGAGCGCTCACTACGACGCCGTTTGTTACGGCCAAGAATGTATACTTTTAAAATCTACTAACAAACTGATGAAATTCATCATATTTTTTTTTTTTTTTACTTTTTAACCTCAAAAGACAGCACACACACCATAAAGGAAGTCATAAAATCCAGCAGTCCAATACTCTGTTTTAGGAGGAGTTGCTAAACACCGAAAAAAACAAACCGATGCTCCTTCTGGTCATTGCATGCAGCTTTTTAGATCAGGCGGTGTTTAATGTCCAACCCAGTCTCATGGGAAAATGTACCCCCACTACGTTGGTCCACACTGGAAAACGTAGTGGAGGTACATTAATGGCCATTTTTTTGTGGTACTGTTACGTTTCTTCTGCCTATACGATTTCTATTGTTTTACGTCCTAGTCACGTGACTTTCAAGATTCCAGCTGAGAGAAGAAAAAAATATATATAGATGGCCGACATTCGCTCATTTTTTGTGGAAAGATTAATGACTTGAGTTTGTTTTTGCATTAAAATGAGTTTTGATTACATTTCTAGTGAGAAATGTATAGTTTGTTGCCAGAATATTTACTCAGGGAATGTACATATTCACTTGCTTGTTCGTTTCTTGCAAAGATTTTTCAAGATAATGTGAAACTGTAACATTTTGGTATAAACACGGCTGAGATTTCTCTAACTTTTAGTGGGAAAATCAATAATTTCAATCAGTTTCTGCATTTCAATAGGTTTTGATTACATTTATAGCGAGAAGTGTAGGGTTTATTTATATAATATTTACTTAGTGAACATACATAATCACCCGCTTGCTAGTTTTTGCTACGTTTTTCGGATCTCGTCAGGATTATGTGAAATTGCAACGTTTTGGCTGCTACCTATCGCCTAGCATTTAGCTGCCGCCCCGATTCAACATTGAATTCTTTGTGATTTAACTCCATCTGACGGATCAAACCCTCGCCACTGCGTGCGTTGCGTCTGAGGTTGATTTTCAGATCAATGCATTACGTCGTGGCATACGGGAGAAACTAATTAAACTAGTTAAAAAAAGGATAATGGGTTAAGATCGGATGTGTTTTATTTGGAACTCTACCGGATCCTTTGTGCATTTAACTTCCTGTTTGGTGCGATCTCATTGATGGGTTTTGACCAGATTTTGACCAAAGAGGAACTAAAAAAAAAAAAAAACAATTTAAATACACAACCAGCATATCTGGAATCAATGACGGGGACCAGAAGTTTATTAATTTCTCCCCATTGATTTCCATTCAAAATGTTTTCTATCCCACCGGGCTCTAGGGAAGGGGCGGGCATACCGCCACCTACTGTTCATGAGTGTGTAGCAACATTGTTTTACATCTATTAAATTCTATTTTTAAATTTTGTATTCTGAAGATAAATAAATAATGCTTTCCTTAATCTATAAATATCTTTTATATTTCCTTTATTTCCCAATAATCCTTTAAGACTCCATTCTTGGCCTGTCGTCTTTTCAATTTCTTCCTTTCAGGTTCATATGTTTTGCAGTTCATCAATACATCTGCATTTTCTATCTCTCCACATCCTTCACATTTATCATTATTTTTCCTCCCTATTAAGTATAAATTGTCATTTAAATAAGTATGACCTACTCTTAATCTGATCATTATTATTTATTCCCTTCGGTTTCTCTCATTAATATTTCTATTTAATACTGACTTTTGTACTTTATATAACCTTCTTCCTTTTTATCTTCATTCCACCTTTTTTTGCCATTTTTTAATTTCTTTCCTCTTAATAAATGATTTTCCTTCCCCTTTCCCTAAAGGAATTGTAATTGTTATTGCCTCCTCTAATTGCTAATTTGTCTACTACTACTACATTTTCCCACTTTGACCTTTTAAGGTTAGCATATTGACCAAAAGCTGACACCAAAAATAAAGCAATAAATTATTTACAACAATATGCTACATTTAATGAAGACTAATACAGATTTTACTCTCTTATAAGAATTAGTTTTAGGTTTTATAGGGGAGAGTTTGTATCGGCAGTCATCTGGGAATCTTTTATGTATTTACTGGTAAAGAACAACCTCTCAACCCATTTAATGTAAATGTTGCGTCGAACCAGAAAGTTATTTGAAGAGCATAGATGCATTAATATGTGCATAGCTTTAACAAGGGCCTCATGAAGGTCTGTTCTGTTATTCTCTTTTGGAGAATATAGACATTGTGGGCATTCATTTCCCTGATAAGCTGGTGAAGATTCTTAGACATCCAGGTCATAATCATTCCAAAAAAAAAACAAAACAAACAAAAAAAAAAACTTTGGACTTTGTTTTTCAAGTTTGAAGACTTCCCATTCAGGACGTTTTTCAATTCAAAATTACAGTAGCCCAACAAATCCTTGTTTTGGCTAAGAAAATATGCAAATTGAACCTGATGCCTGATCCCAATAGCTTGACTCTGAACCGAATTTGATCCCTATTACTTTTTGGCCACATGCACATTATTGTGCTGCCTGGTCAACCCTAAGAAAATGTTCTGGAACTGCCACTGAACTGACACCCAATGCATGGAGGGTAACCCAAAAAGGGCCATTGTTAGAGAAACTGGGTGCCTACAAAGTGCTGTTTTCAAGCTAATTAATGGAAAGTTAGCTGGAATGAAAAGTAGACAAATAACAATTACAATTCCTTTAGGGAAAGGGGAAGGAAAATCATTTATTAAGAGGAAATAAATTGAAAAATGGCAAAAAAAGGTGGAATGAAGATAAAAAGGAAGA